CCCCTGTCACTACAGGACATGAAATAAAACAATGCAGATACTGGAACTTCTGGGGTAAAATGAAGAAGTTTAATTTCTGACACTTACAGACTTTCAAAAGTGACAGTGGATTGGAGGGTGACAGTGCCACCTCTCCAATGGTCAAACCAACAATCCATCAAATTTCTCCTCCTCCAGAAAAGAAGGGAAAACAATAATCATTGACATAAAAGCGTGCAAGAAAGTTCCTTACAAGAACGGAAACATCAGAAGGCTTAGCAGAACTTAGAAGAACTTAGAGGAACAGGGTGACAGGCCCCGTCCCCAGTGAAGTCCCAGCAGAAGTTCTCCTCCATGGGTTACATCACCAGCCCTTCCCAAGCCCCGTGGCAGCTCCCAGGCAGCCTCAGTTGGAGGGAGCAGCTTGTGTTTCGCCTGTCAGAAAGGTGCTGCTGAGGAACTGATATGGTCCAGCTCTTTTTAGGCCAGAGGGGTTGCCATGGTAACCCATTGGGATGGAGATAGATCAGCTTTTGAGTCATCATCAGAGCCGGCTTCGATAGTAGCGGCTTTGGATTGGCAGCCAGAGCTGCACACTGTGGAGGCTGGCACGCCTCTGGACCAGAAGGTCCTGGAAGTGCTGCTGGATGAGCCTTGTTCCCAAAAAAAAGTGAATTTCCCTGAGTTCTCCCTGATCATCCCTGGAATTGTTCCTTGGTGTTCACACTCACCGTGAAGATCACGCTCCTGAGCATGAAAAGTTTCTCTTTTAGTTTAAAACATCAGGCAGGAATTTCTGGACATCATCATTTCCATTTTCTTTTCCATGGAAATGGTTGTTGAGTATTGGAAGAGTTCCTTGGTGTTCACACTCACCGTGAAGATCACGCTCCTGTGCATGAAAAGTTTCTCTTCTGGTTTGAAACATCAGGCAGGAATTTCTGGACATCATCATTTCCATTTTCTTTTTCATGGAAATGGTTGTTGAGTATTGGAAGAGTTCCTTGGTGTTCACACTCACCATGAAGATCACGCTCCTAAACATGAAAAGTTTCTCTTTTAGTTTAAAACATCAGGCAGGAATTTCTGGACATCAGGAGGAATTTTTCTTTTCCATGGAAATGGTTGTTGAGTATTGGAAGAGTTCCTTGGTGTTCACACTCATGGTGAAGATCACGCTCCTGAGCATGAAAAGTTTCTCTTTTAGTTTAAAACATCAGGCAGGAATTTCTGGACATCATGAGGAATTTTTCTTTTTCACGGAAATGGTTGTTGAGTATTGGAAGAGTTCCTTGGTGTTCACACTCACCATGAAGATCACGCTCCTGAGCATGAAAAGTTTCTCTTTTAGTTTAAAACATCAGGCAGGAATTTCTGGACATCATCATTTCCATTTTCTTTTTCATGGAAATGGTTGTTGAGTATTGGAATTTTTCCTTGGTGTTCACACTCA